TTACTTCAATATTGAATGATTTTTCTTCAATAATTTTTCGCTCTACATATGAGATGTATCATCGTCGTGTCGCCTATAAAGTTTTCCTTCAATATTTTATCCTGTATGTAAAACATGACCTTGCACTTGATTTTTGTTTGCTGTATCCGCACATGCGATACTAACTATAATATAAGATAAAGTGAATTGGAGCTTTCAATATAACACGGTCCGCAGCGTGCGGTGTGACAGGCCGATCGATATCGGAGGCCGCACTGTCTCCGTATGAAAAGCGATGTTCTTTATTTATTTTCGAACACTCTTCTGATGCTGGGGTTGGAAATGAGTTTTCATTCAATCTGCAAACTTAATTAACTGTGCGAACTCGGAATTAATATTTATTGGGACGATGAGCTAATTCCAATCGGTGTGTGAACACATTCTCGGAATCTGTGTCACAAATAAAGGAGATTAACCTAGGTGCTACGGTTTTAAGGGTAAACTATTTATTATTTTGTTTGATATGTTTCACAAAGCAGATGTATATTTCTGGGTGACTTAGAATTATTATAACCAACGTGCCATTTAGCATATACATAGTTTGTGATGGAAAATATCAAAAATTCGTGCAATAAACATAGTGACTCATAGTATTATATTATTATCGACGCTATCTAAAATCATAGATTGTATACTCCTATAATTATAATTTCATGTTTTATAAGTATTTGGAAATAAATATCATGAGGCAATGAAGATAACTTTTAGAGGTTTTAATTTAGGAATAATATAATGGATGGTGATCTAGATAACTTGGCGCAATTTTGTCATTATTTTTACTGGGTTACGGTTTCAAGGTTTAAATAACCAACATTAATGAAAATTAACCCAAAATAACCGAAAAATGTGGCTAAAGTTATATTTTCACTTTTTTAATAAAGAAGGTTCTTAATGTTTAAATAATATATTTGATCGAAAAAATTATTAATTCATGTATAATTAATTATTTGAATATTCATAGTTTAGATATTTATTTCAAATTTTGAAAATTGCATCTATCTCTCTCACCTTGATAGCTGGTTGTCTCAATTGTTTTCTTTTTTTTAATTACAATATTTCTTACAACTATTAAATAATTTAACATCTAACAAATAATAATGAGCAATAACATACATTTAAATGAAGAACGAGTATAAGGTATAGTAGTCAATTGTGGCTTTCATTCATTTCAAAATTTCAGTTATGTATTATTATTTTCAATTTCAGTATGTTAAGATAAGAAATGTAGAAATATCTATCCAATATTAATCTGCATAATAAATATAAATATACAGAAATCAAACGAAATTTCGTAATTAGAGTATCAATAACTTAATAATGTCTATAAAATTATTGTTGGTGTAGTTGAATGACATGCACATTATATAACTATTCAGACTTTTTATTATCTATGTGTACAAAAATTTGAAAATGTTTAGTATTTTTTTTTGAACTTATTAACTTAAACCCACTAATCAATCTATTTGATTAAATTAAAATTCTAGAAATTAAAATTTGTCTGCTAATCAACTTAATGCAAGTTTTTCAAATGCTTCATTTATTTTGATGAAGCACTTTATCAGTTTACTAATTTTAGATTTTCTCAACTAGTTCTCAAAATTGGGGGTAGTATGTATGTGTATGTGAGCCAAAGTTTGATCTGTAGAATAATACAATAAAAAAAATAAAAAATAAAAATTATCTTATTCAAATTTGTATGAACTTGGCCAAAATGTCATTTGATTTAGAGTCTAAATCAAATGACATTTTGGCCAACTTCATGCAAATTCCCATGCGTGATTCCCACGGGTCCATGGCAACTTTCAAGGGGTCCACGGCAGAGAAAACAAAATTTGAGAGTCAACGAAATAAAAATGGGGGCCCACCTCATATTTAGGAATTATTTAAACTTTAAATATTAGTATTGAGCGCGGAGCCAGCCGCCCATAAACCTATCTCAGCAACTATTGAATGTTCCAACTATAAGTTTCTGTCAAATATTTAGTAAAGTGTAGTAACAATGTATGTTAAGTTTCATTAAAATCGAATTATGCATTTTTGAAAACGTACAATCTGTTTCAATACTAGCATTAACCTCGCATTTCTCAAAAACTATTGAGTGTCCCAACTTTGAATTTCTGTAAAATGTTTAGTAAAGTGTAGTAACTATGTATGTCAAATTTCATCAAAATCGAATTATGCATTTTTGAAAACGTACAATCTGTTTCAATACTAGTATTGAGAGCGGAAAAACTTCAATAGTTTGTTGTTCCACCGTTGAATGAAACATCGCAAGGGGTCCACGGCACAAACAAGTTTGGGAACCTATGATTTAGACTTTGGCTAAGAAATTGTTACATGGGCTATCTATTTCCATCTAATGCTGTGGTTTTATATATGGTACAGCCAACTAATATGATATGCAATATATTACTATATCACATTTGATGTACAGGCACTTAGACCATCAGTTCATCCTGACCTTTGCTACTTTTATCCAATATCAACTGACGTTACATGGCAATGCCTATGTTTCATGCAGTTTACGACGTGACATTTATAACCATGACCATCCCTACTTGTGCAATCCCATGACAATTTATTCGATACTTACAGGAAATATATCAAATATCAGTGAACTAATACTTATACATGTACCTGGGTATACAACCGTATAAATTCTCGTCTCACATGGACTTAATGACGACTACATGCAAATTACATACCACTGAAAGCTTCTCCTATGTCGCGGAAATAAACTACTATTTATAGAAAATTCATTCAGAATACGATAGTGAGAATAATTTAGCGGAAACATTTAGCTACCTTATACAAATTAAATTAGATTGTATTGTATGGCATTTACGTATTGTCGTAGAATTACATTCTAAAATAGTTATTTATATAGTGATTTTAAGGGTCACTTCTCGGGTAAAATATACCGTAAGTCTGACAGTTTTTAGTACCAAGAAAACAGCTTAACATAGCGTTGCCATAACAACATTATGTAACAGTTTATTTTACAGGAGGGTTAGCTCCTTAGTCTACTAAATCGGTTCAAAATGTTAATGGTTCAAAATAGAGATAGGTAACTCACTCCGGAGTTATCACTCCGATACAACTCTTCTCTCGGAGTGAATCCGAGTGGAGTCGTCTCACAGGATTTGTCATATCCGACTTCCCTAAACTGATACTAAATCTGTTAACATGTGCAGATATTTGCTAGAGATTTTTTACTAATACAAAGATTTGGGTCGAAAGAAGTGTTTTTTTTCTCGTCTCGTAGGCAGTTTTAGGACTTTCCAGGTATATAATGTCTCAAAATAATGCTATTTTGTATTCTATATTCTGTGTACGATAATGTTTGTTCGTAAATGAGCTCTTTCAATGGTATACGACCAGTTAAAGAATATTTAGTATTATACTATAACTTTTATAAAATTATGATTTTATAATTGTGTAAAAGTAATAGTATGTTAATTAAACTACCTAATGTATAATTAATTCTCGAAAGGAAAATAATAAAAGAATGTGAGGCATTATTATTTTGTGAAAATATTATACACAAATATTTGTTCTTATTTTCTATATAAGGTTCATTGCATTATTTTCATATAAAAATAAACATATTCAAAGAATTCTATATTTTCTCTTCAAAACTAATTACAAAATTGATTTTGATTCCCAAGTTTTTTGTTTGAGATTTGTATGCATATTGAAATGCATAAAATAGTAATTATTATAATAAAATGAACAAAAATGTTTAAACTATTTATAAACTATTTCCAAAGTCTTAATAAATTCTTAGATATGTTAAAAACACACTAGAGAACACATTTGTGTCAAGTTTAATGTTTCAAAGTTGTCGGAGTTATAGAGTTTTTAAGTGGATATAACTCTTCTCTGAAACGGAGTCAAATCCTAACCGATCCGGCTTCGGATATGATAAGCCCATCTCTAGTTCAAAATATTATTTCAGATATTTTTTGAGTAGTGGCTAAAAAACAGGATTTATGCAGGACCATACAATCGTAATGAGTACCTTGAGGGAAAAACGCACTGAAATCGAAATTAATTTTTTATGAGTACAATCAATATCGAAACTTTTGACGTAAGCTTTTGTTTGACGCTATTTGCCATTTTCCAATACAATTTAATTTTGCCTACAATCGAATATAGGACAAAGCTATGATTTATTCAGCGATAAAAATCACATGTATACTTCGCATGTTTGGTGCCAAACTGGCTAACAAAGAACTCATGAATATTAATCTTGTAATGTATGACCCAGCGATAAGTAAATGACCTTTTTAACAAAGCTTGCGATTTTGTGTTTTTTAAGAGATTTATATTAGAGCATGTTGATTTATCTACTGTATTCGACTGACTGTAAGATGTTCTGGAAAGTATGAAAATCCATAAGAAACTTCTTAAGAAATCTGATACATGTTGTAGATTTTATTCAATTTTCAACTTTTTTTAAATTAATATTAAACCTTTCTATAAGTACTTATTGCTCTCTAATGGAGAGACACTTTAGTCTTTAAATGACAATGAATTTATTAACTATGACTGAGATATGAAAATAATATATATATATATATATATATATATATATATATATAAAATTAAAAAAACTAATTTACAAATATGAATTCATTTATTATCTATAGCACTAATGTAAATCGAATATTTGGTAAAGTATAAAATTAACTAAATTTTAAATAATAAAAATAAGAAACTAATTAAACTTTTATATTTCTATTGATAGCTTCTATATTTTTATTGATTCTTTGAGGAACGTATTATACAAAAAAAATATATTTATACATATATAATATATAAAGGAATATTTATAATGTATGGAATTTTACATTAAGTGTGTAGTAATTGAAACTCGAACATATTATATTCTTGTTTTAAATAATAAATATAGTTTTAACTCTTTGTTCATTCTTACAAGTTCTTTTTATTGACTGTAGGTTTTGTTCCAACATCCTTTTGCTGTCTATATTGGATTAAACAAATATAAGGACGAATTTACTGATGTATCTAAAAGGTCTCCAACGAAGCGCAACATATTGATTCTGAAAATGCTTCAAGAAAAAGGACCAGTACGTATTTTTTACAAGATTTATGGAAGACTTCAAATTTATGTTTACACATTATAACTTCGTAAAATATTTCCTATACCATAAACTGTAGTTTTATATGAAAAGTGCGTTATATACGCAGGGCCGAATTTACAAATTTGGCGCCCCGGGGCACTGACAAAATTGCCGTTCCATTTTTTATGTCTCATTTTTCTAAAATTAAGAAAACTATTTAATTGCATAAAATTTATCACGCATTATATATACTTGTTTTATGTATAGATATATTGTTTTTTAATATTTGCCCTGGGCATTAGCCCGACTGCCCCAAATCCAGCACTGCATATGCAAGTACAAATCTCATGTATCAAAGATACGAATTTTATGAAACTAAATGTTAAATAAATCACGAAAGATATTGAGAAGCAAAAATTATCAATGACAATAATATCTAAAAATATAATACATGATTCTATGAAGAAAAAAATGAGGAATCAAAATAATGACGTACAAGCAAAAATGATGGCAATATTTGTTACAGTGTTTTCGGAAAAAGTACAAAAAAATATAGAACTTAAAACACAAGTTAGATGAAATATTTTAGTTTATTCGAGAATTTTGGAAGAAAGCTCTATAAATACTATCTATATTTTGGATACCATAATATTTTTTACCTACGTGACATAGAAGTTATATTTTGTAAATTTATAAGATTTTCTAAAGTTTAGAGCCTAAACATTAGACAATTAAATATATTATATATTTTAGTTGAACTATATAACTCGCAAGACACAGTCATAAGCAGAATTTTAGATTGAGAACTTTTTTCCATTATATGAATGTGTTTATATATTGGTTTTATATTTAATAAAAAAACAAAATGTAAGAGTCTTTTATATTCATTTTTTACTCCCTATTTGATTAAATTATGTCATATATTAGTGGCGTTATATTAAACATCATTGAATAATAAAATAATTTCAAATCAAAATAGTTCTCAAAAACAGCTTTCTATTTTTTTTTAATAAAATCAGTGTTTAGATTATTATTCTTAGTATTTATTGAACGTACATAACGTACTTATTTAGCTAATAATTCACCGTGCTTCTGATGACGCGCAAAGTCTTATCAAAAATTATTTTTTTTATCAAATATTTGGAAACGAATTTGTGAATTTTATTTTCAGGATCCGACTAATCTGAGTTGTTATTATCAAGAACTGCTGTGAACAAGTATCACGATCGTGTTCTGGTTGTAAGATTTTCCTCTTTGTTATATTTTTAGACTCGAACCCATTTCCAATCATTTTCTCTTTTCGCTTTTCGACTTTTCCTGAAATCATCTCAATTCTGTATGCAGTTTGCATACATGCCATATGAGCGTTGGAACAAACACGAGGTTTGTTCGATATTTCTTTTTCTTTATTATGGCAGTACATACATATTGTAAAATACTTTTTGTACTGTTATAAATTGAAATAAAAATCTGATGATTGATTGTACCAATAAAATCATTCAATCAATCAATTTTAAATTAAATATATTAATTTATTATTGCCAAAAATTACTATTCATCATATTCACAAAATACGTTTGGTAATTGTCACTTATGATTCGACAAATCCAAAACGATAAGTGTTATTAGTTGATTGATACAACTAATTCGAATTAACAGAACAGGCAATGGTGAATATATTTTTATTGAGTTATTGATGTTGATACTTCAATGTTATATTTTTACAATGCTCATACCACCATTTCGACTTTGATTCCACGAATACTGATGATTTTGCATATGTCAAATAAAGATAATATATGGTTTAGCTTACCGTTGTTTTGCGGTCGCAGTGGCGTGCAACTCGTCGAAGCCAGAACCACGGTAAATAAAATGAGTCCAGTCAATGGACGCATACCCCTGGGAAATTAACATAAAATAAATAGGACATAATAAAAAAGCAAAATTATGTTGAAATATGATTTTCATTAGATTTTAGTGCATCGTATATCTGAGGAAAATGAAAAAAAAAACAAATTTGAACGAGTCTTTTATATAAAAATAATAATTGCATGGCATAGTACAACTAATACTATGTTAACTTAAATTTAATTTTTATAAAATATAATAAATAACGTTTTGCATTAACTGAAAATAGCAAAATAGCTGTTTTTTAATTTAGTTTAATATATTATTAATTTTATATTTTAATACAATAATTAATCTGGTAAAACGATTACAACTAACATATATATATATATATATATATATATATATATATATATACAGGGCCGGTCCTATCTTGAATGCAATGCATGCAAAAAATGCGAGCGCACACTTTAGGGGGTGCCAAAACGAGATTCTGAAATGAAATTTATAATATATTTTTTTCAATTTACTTCAAGAAATATATAATGTCTTTGCATTTTTCACTAATTTTTGGACAACATTTTCAGAATACGTTAAAGGTATCACTTTAAAACAACAAATGGGAAAGTAAAGATAAATACATACGGCCCTTACGATATCAATTAGGAGAAATTTACTATGCAATTTTGGAAATTTTAAATAATAAAAAAATAATTTAAAATAATCCAACATAAAGTACCAGTGCTATGAAAAACCATATGTTTAATAATGAAAGGCTAAAAAAATTTTAATCTCTATGATGTGCTCAATAGAATATATCGCATAAAATCCCCAAAATGAATAAGTAAAATGCTTCAAAACCCAAATATTAATATATTACATATATCTAATTTTTTATGTACTGAATCCAGAATTTAGTAAATAAAATTAGGGGGCCCGATAAAAATAATGGCATGCGGGCGCTGAGGACCCCAGGACCAGCCCTGTATATATATATATATATATATATATATATATATATATATAATGTAAATTATATAAGTATAGTAGAAATAATATATGTTTCTAATAATATATAAATAATATGTATGTTTCTTTTTTATCATACATGCAGTATATAAATGCATAAATGAAGAATGTGTAAGTGATTTTAACAGAACTTGAATTAAACAGGAATAACAATTTATTTTCTCAATAATGTTACAGTATAGAAGTGTATATGACGAAACATACAATAATGATAAATTGCAATTATACAATCATATTTAATAAAATAAAATTAAGCATTTTAATAATCAAAATTGAATATGCATAAGGTTACACGAGAATGCAAGTTCATAAGCGATCTTCTATTTATTATAATTGAAAATGAACCAATATATGAAACTGAAAAACATATTCATAATTAGGTAAACAGACATATACAACAACAAGTATTAAACACGATTTGAATAAACTTTGATTTTATTTGTTTATATTTCAATACTGAATTTTGTACATAGTTATTTATTTATACATACAAACACACACACACACACATATATATATATATATATATATATATATATATATATAATGTGTGTTTAATAAACAGCAAATAGTATTAATAAAATATGTTATTCATACCTTTTTGTTTGGTTAACAGAAATAAGTTCAATAAAATGTTTGTGCGTCTGTTAATGCGTTCACAATAGTTTTTCCGAGGAGCTTTTGGAGCTTTGCACTACGAGTGAGCTTGACACAGTTAGTAATACATGAAAGCTCCGACAACGAACGATGCATAACACTGATGGCCATACCACGCTTGCGCATTCTGACGGAATCTATATTTATAATGCCACAAGTAGGTATATATTAGTAAAAATTGAATACAGATACGAATAAGAATTAAATATTGTTTTGCATATAAATTTATAAAATATAAATATAATTAAATGTACATTTTTATAATAAATATATGTCATATTTAAATGAAAGTATTAAATAATTCCATATTGATACATGTATTATGATTTTTATATTTATATATGTATTATATATGTATTTAAATATTATAGATTCAATTGAACAATAAGTAATATAATATTTATTTATACAGGTTAATGGAAAAATTTGCAAATTGTGTATAGTGTAAAAACATTTGACATACTGACATTCAAATTATTTCCGTGAAAATCTATACAAAACACTTCAAACTATTAATCACACAATAGCAAATATAAGTTGTAACTATATTTCATAAATTTTTGCGTCAATACTTTGGAATTCAAAATTTATTCAAGAAATCCGCACACACAGTATTCAAGACAAGCTGCTACAATAATTTCAAATCGTAAATATTATATGACCATTTTTAATTAATAATCAACAGTAATATTTTTGAATAGTTAATTTGGGAACCAAATAAAGACTATATTCTTTAATTATGTCTTTAATGTTCTCACAGCACTAGTTTATACATTTTTTAAATATACATGAAAGTGCAGCAAATTTCAACCAGTCTCAGCTCAGTTCAAATAATAAATACAAATACAAATCTTCCACTTATTCAAAATTTTGAAAACAAAATTATTTACTCATTTAAAAGTGAACGCCACTAGACAATTACTTTGGGAGTTTAACATAATAATTTCTAACATAAATAAGTAATTAGTATTTCCCACAATGGAAAACATAGTAATCATATTCATATAACTTTTTTTAACTTTCCGTAGAGTAGTTATAATAATGGGCCAAAAATCGAAAATGAAAATGTTTGCATATCTTCACGTTTTGAAGGTTTCTGAACATTTTGAACGTTTTGAAGGTTTCTGAACATTTTGATATACCTCAGAAAAAAAAGTGTGTGTGTGCTTTGTATGTCCGCATTTTTTCGTTCACGTTTTCGGGCGCACGGATAAACCGATTTGAATGGTTCAAAAAACATTCGATTCCTATTGATAGGAACATGTACTGATTAGTTTTTGGCAAAGGCAGGTCCAGCCGTTACAGAGATACGGGGCAAAGAGTGCAGAAAATAGAAATCGAGTTTTTGAGAGAACCGAGTATCCGATTTGAATAACCAAAAAAACATTCAATTTGTAATGATTGGGAGAAAGGGTGGTTAGTTTTTGGCAAAGGCAGGTCTGGCCATTTTGAAGATGCAGTGCTAAATGTGCAAAAAATTGCAGTTATTGGGAGAACTATGCGTCCGATTTGAATCATTCAAAGAACTTTCTGCTTGTTTTAACAAAATAATTGCTTTTGGAAAAAAAATTGTTTCAAATTTGTTTTCGAAATTAATTCAGAATTTAATTTTAATTCTGGCTAAAGTTCTAAAGCTCACTTATATACTTAAATAAATGATTTTAACTTTGTAATTCAGTTTATATAATTTTTTTAAATATTAGACAATGTTTACAATACGAAACGGGAAGTTCCAGCAATTTGCCTTAAGGCACGATCCATTAGTTTTAATATTTTTCATCTAAATGTTCGGTTATATATACAATTTGCCTTAAGGCACGATACCACTAGTTTTAATATTTTTCATCTAAATGTTCGGTTATATATACTCATTGTCCGTTAAGTTTAGAGTTCGATTCACAGATAAAAGAAAAGAATATAAAGAAGGTTCGATTTAGTACCAGTTTCTTTATATAAGTTATAAATCCAATATACATTTATGACATTTACTTGTTTTATATGTTTACAGATAAAAAAATCTGTATTTATCGTTATTGTTTTATCATGGAATGATTTCATAAATCCCGCTTAATTTCATTTTAGAATCTTTCGTATACAGAAATAATAATTTACCGTCGGGCAACACTATCGACTAGGAAGGAAATCGATCATGTTGTGGCAATACCATTAGACGTCAGGAATTTTCTACAGAACGTTCTAGAACAACTGAGAAATAAAGTCTTCTCGATATAGTTGTGCTCGACCGAGCTCGCATCGACTTTTCTTAAAAGCGCCGCATTATATGTCGTAATAGCCATTTTTAATCGTAAAACGTTTATAAAGAATACTTGACTACATTGAGAATCTATTTTATTTAACTCAAATAAAGGTAAGTCATTTTGAATTTTGCGACCATGCTTGTTTCGCACTATCATTACATGTAATGATAACTCTTCTAGAACAATCATGGTTAAAGAAACTACATATTATGATGTGCTGGGTGTAAAACCAGGCTGTACACCTGAAGATTTAAAGAAAGCATATAGAAAATTGGCCCTTAAATATCATCCTGACAAAAATCCAAATGAAGGAGAAAGGTTCAAACTTATTTCACAGGCTTATGAAGTGCTTTCTGATCCTGCTAAGAAAAGTATATATGACCAAGGTATGCATTTTACTTACTAAATTGGTTTTACAATTCCAAATAGCTCTTACATTTTCAAGAAAAGGTTTTTGCATCTACTGATTTTCATGTTTTATTCCTACGACTGGCATTCTTTAATACAGATATAATAGATTTCAACAAGTTGGAAACCATTATTTCGACTAATATTTGATTGATAATTTTATGCTAGATCAAACTGCTGACACTACAAATTTATTCGTGACATCAAAAATCCTGTTATAGGCTATTATAATTAATTTTTCTACACAACCTGCTGGCAACAGATTATTTTTATTAATATAGCCTTAATTTATTCAATTTCTTTCATTGAATTGTAATAAAAGCATGCAGCTACAAGATAAATGTTAAAAAAGATAATTGAAAATTACATTTTATAAATCAAATCAAGTTTTGCAATCAAATTAATTAAATTTTTCAATAATTTGTTAAAGATGAGATATAATTGAATTATATTGAATATTAGTCATAAGCTAAATTCTCTCAAAAAGGATACTTTTTATAAAATGTGAATAGTAGTAATATATTAGTGATATATTGTCTTTCATTTTGTTTCAATTTATAGACTTTATTACAAAACTGTTTCAGGTGGAGAACAAGCTCTTAAAGAAGGCGGAACTGGTGGTGGAGGATTTAGCAGCCCCATGGATCTTTTCGATATGTTCTTTGGTGGAGGATTTTCTGGTGGACGAGGTGGAAGGTAATAAAATAACATATTGCAGCTGTAAAATACTTTTTTTTAAATTTGAATTGTTATACTATAAATTTTGCTAGTTTGTTAAACCTATAATAAACCTGTAATAAATCATCATAATTGTATAAAAATGTGAAGAGATGTATAATCAGCATTCATTTTGTGCCAATATGGGCCTAGAATATTTCTATTCGGTGTTGTCTTGATAGAACAACATTTAGAATACCATTATTAATAATTTTATTTCTCAGAAGGCGTGAGCGTCGTGGCAAAGATGTCATTCATCAGTTGCCTGTGTCTTTAGAAGAACTCTACAAAGGAGCTGTTCGAAAATTGGCTTTACAAAAGAGTGTTATTTGTGACAAGTGTGAAGGTCGGGGTGGCAAAAAAGGTGCAGTGGAACAATGCCCAACTTGTCGTGGTACTGGCATGCAGGTAAATTTTTGAACTTATATATAATTTATATTTGTAATAAAAAAAACTAATTGTTTTCAGCTTAGATTAGATTTTAGAAATTGCTTAGTAGAATTCCACATAAATTGGATAAAAAACAATCATTGACATTTTTAATCATTTATAAATTTGTTCTTAATACCATTTTATTGGACATATAGTTTAGACATTGAGAATGTTTTTCTTTTCAGTCATATCAAGTTATAAAGAAATAATTTTATATTTATCATAACAACTTCTTATATTAAGTCTGTAATGTGGATCATGAAATTAATATTTCAATAGGTTCAAATACAACAACTCGGACCAGGAATGATACAGCAGATTCAATCTGTTTGCTCTGAATGTCGTGGATCTGGTGAGAGAATTAATCCTAAAGATCGCTGCAAACAATGTCAAGGTCGCAAAACAACAAGAGAAAGAAAGATCCTGGAAGTAAGTTAATATATTAATAAAATTCATCTATAAAAATAAAATTCAAACTGAAATATGAAAATATTGTGTTATACTGTTTGTCTTAATGATCATTTAATATATAAATTGCTAATACTGTCCATTATTATCAATTACAAAGTAATTTACATTTTTCTTCCATAATCATATCACTTTTCTTATTCTAAATAATAACAGCAAATGTCCAAATGTATGACATGCAAAAATGTGAAAAGCTTGTGTATTAGATAACAAAATTTTATTTATTTAATTTCTTATTTACAGGTCCATGTTGACAAAGGTATGACTGATGGACAGAAAATTGTATTTGCTGGTGAGGGTGATCAAGAACCTGAACTGGAACCAGGAGATATAGTAATCGTTCTTGATGAAAAAGATCATCCGACCTTCAAGCGTTCAGGAAGTGATTTGATTCTTAGAATGAATATCCAACTTGTCGAGGCTCTTTGTGGTTTCCAAAAGGTGATTTTATAACATTATCCATTTATTTTGATTTATAATTATGTTAATTCTCATTTAATATTGTTTTTGATTTTAAAATAAAATGCTTTATCAACATATTATGATTTATAATTATGATAATAATTTTTGTTTAATATTGTTATTTTTGGTGAAATTGATTAATGAAAATGAGTGTTTTTTTTAGGTGGTCAAAACTTTAGATGATCGTGATTTAGTAATGACATGCTTGCCTGGAGAAGTCATAAAACATGGTGATGTAAAGTGTGTACTTAATGAAGGCATGCCACAATATAAAAATCCTTTTGAAAAAGGTAAATATCATATTACTTTTAATTGCAATTATTATAATTTTGTCACTGATGTAATATACAAATTACTTTCTTATAGGACGTTTGATTGTACAGTTTCTGGTTACATTCCCCAACGTTATTCCTCCAGAAATGGTTGCAGCTTTAGAGAGATGTCTTCCACCACGACCAGTAGTTGAGATTCCTCCTGGTTAGTAATTTACCTTGAACTATATTTGTTAACTCCACTATTAAATCTATTTCAATTTAATCTAATGTGATTATGTGCACTAGTTTTACAAAATTTATATTTTGTACTTTTATTCAATATTTGGACAGAAACCAAACTATTTCAAAGCTATTTCAATTTAATCTAGTATGATTAGGTGCACTAGTTTTACAATATTTCTATGTCGTACTTTTATTCAATATTTGGACAGAAACCAAACTAAGCTGGATAGTATATATAAAATACTATATTTTAAAGTATCAACATAAAACTATGACATTACTTGTGGTTGAAAATATTTATGAAAAAAAAAGAAATTAATTAGTAGATGAATTATTAGATTTTTTTATATTATTTGAACTTAATCTTGCATAATTTCGATTTTTTAGGTGCTGAAGAATGTATGCTTATTGACATGGACCCAGAACAAGAGGCACGAAGACGTAGTCATAAAAATGCATATGATGAAGATGATGAGGGAGGCCCTGGAGCAAACAGAGTTCAATGTGCCACGAGTTAAATCGTAGTAACTTAGGGCATTGTTTTAAAGTATTGTCTAACACTATTTATATAATTTTCCTACGATGATAACATGAGATTTATGTCATCTATCATATTTATCATATTGATACTTGGTTAGGGTTTTACATTGCACAATTATTTGTGACTTTGTAATTACACAGATGAAATGCTCCACTGTTACGGATTGGAACACCCAAATTGTCTTAGTGTAGTTATTTTTTTTTAGATAGACAATCTTTATTTTTTGTATGCTTCATAGCTGAGAAATGCCTGGCCTATGTGATATTTTGTTCCAGTACTTGTATTTTTTTGTATTGATTTCAAATCTTATGTGATAAGGTTTAAATGGAATAAAAGAGTGAGCATTTAGTTTATGCTTTTGTCAAATTTATTGTAGGCAAAAATCAAATACATTCTTTAGTATAAGTAAATGATTCTTGAATATTATTGGTAGAAAAAAACCATAAATTATCAACAATTATGTGTAAATTATACTATATTGTATGTTCTTGAACATTAAATATATCCTCCAAATCAACGTTTCATTTTGATTCAATAACATTTCAGATACAAATAAAATTAACAGGCAATCACATTTTGAAAGTTGTTGCAAAAATACTAAAAAAATTGCTTAGTTAAATACTGTTAGCTATATAAACTAATTATATACATTAAATTTAAAGAACTAGATTTATTTGAATAGTATGGTCCATAATGTTTATGTAAGACTCAGCAAATTAGTATTTGCTCTTTTAAGTTTTATAATGTTTCTTAAATCGTTATGGTTAAAATTTGATTTTCTTAAAAAATATCTTGAATTGAATATTTTATAAATGATTGTTCTGTCTTCAAATTTAAAAAAATCAAAATTCATTTAAAGCTTTAAATTTATAAAATACTGTTCTGGCTGTTCTTCAAATACAAGTATTTGAACAATTGTCGCTAACACACTAAATTTAGAATGTGCGGCTTTGCTTTGTGACTGGAATATTGATTTCAAAAAGCCCGCGCACAATTCAACCATAGATGCAATAGATATTCCCTAAAACACCGCGAGAGGCGCGAGGGTCGCCGCAACGCCAGTTGACATCTTATCCCCACTGGCAACACAATTACCAATGTAACGCGCAATGTTTTATGGGAGATTAGTGTAGCCATTTAATTCTACTACATCATTTGTGCTATGGACTCTCTTAAAAAAAAATTGCGTATGAACACTAATTATATTAATTTTTCAATTAGCAAAATGTGTTAAGTAGTCGGTGTAAGTGTAGTGTTGTGATTTAGGTGCGTGTTTTGTGTGATTTTGGCATGTGTGTTGTGGAATTTAGTGAATACAAAGTGTTCATAGACAGGTGTTGTCTTTAGCTTCTACATGACACTGCTCCAAATTAAGTATTTAAGGCTGAGTGTTTCCCAAATAAAAGTGTGATGTCAAATCGATTAACTACTGGAATTATCTCACATTGTATAAAAACGAAATGCAGGTATGTAAATAAAACTTAACAAGCATCCAAATAAACTTTTTGAAGTTTAGTTTTATTGTAGAGTAAATATTTATTATACCCCAATAAATAGTAACCCTCATAGCACTATAAAATTTTGCAATTTATTAATTTATTACTCAACTGAGTTATCGTATATTCATGTATATATCCTTATATCAAATTGAGATTTAAACTTGTTTGTTTTGTAATTCAACACCGAACATATGTTCGACAATGTTTATTTTCGTTAGCAATTTGTCATTTAATATATTGATAATATCATTTTAAAAGCTATTTATCATCTGCCTTGTTAATTATGATAACGTTCATATATGTTTTTAAACATTGTGTGATAATAATCATCATTAGGAATTATTTACATTAAATGAAATTGATATACCAAATGAAAAATTGAAGTTTAATCGAAATTATCAGGAAACTTTATTTTAACGAGTGATTATAAATATGTACTTAAGCCCGATTATAAAATGATACAGATATTGAATTTAGAATTTATTATGAAGTGTATTTAATTGCTAATTATTATTTTTTTAAATTAGTTTAAATTAATGAATGTTTTAATCATTATGTAATATTCAACTACCAATATGCATAAATTATCACAACATTTGAATAATTAATTTGAATTATTTTTATCTTATTGACACGTAATGTGATTATTGGTACATTGATAACGAATGGTAGAAACTTTTTTTGTTATCACATTTTACATACAGTATTTTGAAAAGTATAGTAATTTCCTTATAAATAAATTCATATAAATTATCCATATATTTGTATGTACATATATATTTTAAACATATGTTTTATTACTATTTAGTATTTTATATTTCAACTCAAAATGTTGTTCCCTTATTTTATTCCTAAATTGCTTGTTTAGTTTTCAATTCTTTCTATCTTATGTCTATCGGAAACCTGTATTGGCATTTTGTTCCAAAAGCTATGTTTTGTATGTCACGCAGAATGTGTTCTAAAAATACACACATTCGAGGCAAATCAGTGCTCTTCAAACTGATTCGAGCGGGCTTCTTGCAATTATTGTTTTATTATTGATATTAATTTTTTAAATGAATCAAAAATTTATTTCAAAATTTGTTGCCTGGTCCTTTTTACCTCATTAGGGGGGCAAACAAATCAAATTTCTTGCATTTAATTTTTAAAGAAATTTTATGAAATAATAGCTACATTTTTCAACCGATGCAAAATATAAATTTCATTGGTTCATTTTTTACAGAGATAACACTGTCTGGATTATATTTGATCTGGTATTTTGTCAGAAATATTTATCAGCAGAGTTGTAATAACTATTTAACTTATCTCCTGTAAAATTGCTTTTCTTAACTTAATTTAATATTTTATTTACTATATATTATTGCTTACACCTTTGCCAGACTGAAGTCCTAGTTGATCCTTTTTACCTCACCCAGGTGTATGTTTTATAGGAGGTTTTTTATTAATATAAAGGTCTCGTCAACTTTTTAAATATTTGCTGAAAAAATTAAAAATATATTTTTTGAAAATAAAAGGTTTTCAGAGGGGTTTTTAGTTTAGCAAAATAAAACCATAAATAATATTACCTCTTCAGAAAATTAAATAAAAGGCAACCATCCAGTTACTGAAATAGAATTAATTATGTTTAAAATAATTTTTAATAAACTAGATTCTTTTTCAGTGGATACATGGCTATTTTAGAAACACAAAAGCCACATTCAATGAAATAAAGTGTTATTTAAAGGTCATACTTGTGAAAAGATCTTTTATTTGAAAAAATATATTTACAATGATATATAAACGACCATTTTGACAAATTGTTTGAAATCAAAGCCTTTGATAAAATATAACGAAAATTATTAGTTAATTATTACTTGAACCAAAATTATGTCTTACTAATTATTACTAATAAGAATATATAAAACGATTTGTTTTAACTGATAACTGACACCGAAAAATCTAATGAATTGAAATATTAGTGAAATAAAATATTCTTCACTCTGTATTAATTATATATTATGTTGAACATTTTCATTCTCAATGAAAGTTTATAGATTTGCTTTCAACACTGGATAATTTTCATTTTTGTAAACATTTATTTTGTAACAATTTTCAATTTTTAAACCTGTATTAGAAAACTTTTACTTTTTACTTTTTTAGTTTAATATTGAAAAGGAAGTGATAAAGGAATTAAGTCATACTTTCGAAAAACTCAGTAAAATATAGAATGACGGACAACAAACATATGAAAAAGAATTCTTCTGTTTAATTTACCAAAATTAAAAGTATTTTAATTTCAAGTTACTACTATTTTGGAAAATCCATTTCAAAAATATAATTTCATAAAAATTCCTGGTACTTATTCATTGATATTAATAGCCAAACGAATTAAATTATATGGTTATTAGTTTTAATGATACTTTTAATGTGATACTAATTTGAACATCTTGTAATTATCGAATAATACGTTGATAAAACCGGCTTTTGACTTTATTTGAGGTTGTTCATCTCAAGTGATTTTATCAAATTAAAAATAATGCGTATAAATAATAATAGGAAAGGTAAAGTAGATGATAAAATTCTAGGTGTATATTTGTTATTTCCCGTTATAATTTATCTAATGTAATCGATAAGCAAATACGAATCATATATCAAATCAAATAGCTAGAATATAGGATCTCAATCTAGTATATAGGTTCTCAAACTTTTTTGTGTTGTGGACCCCATGGACCACCATTTATATTGTATATCAGATTTTTTAATAATTTTTTAACTGTACTAAAATTATTATTAAATATTTAAAGTAAAAATTAATTACTTTTATATATTTATTAATTAAAGATAAAATAATAATAATAGAAAAATAAAGTAGGCAAAAATTAAATGTTAAATTATCAACATTTGGCAACAATTCTAATTTACATTACTTTTATTCTAGTCTTTGTTAGGAGATCAGTAAAAATAGTAAATTTTCTTCTTACTGTCTATTTTACAACCATTGAATCGTTTTTTATCTTTAGTATCCAGAAATACTATGATAGTCTCAAAAAACCCAAAGTATTTTGCCAAGCCTTTCAATATTCAGCAAACAGGGTCTTCAGAAGCTCAACCATATTGCGACCACAAATCGAATCACTTTTTATGTACTACTTACGCATTTTTATAGAAAAAGAACTATATTTTTATTTACTTTTTAGTTCTATTTAGAAATATTGTATATGACTTTTTATTATAGGATAGTATACAAAAATAGATTATGATGTGTTATATTCTGGTCTCTCATTTTCATTTCGTGGACCCCGAATTTTGTTTCGCTGACGTGGAATCCCTGAATGTTGTTATGTGGACCCTATGGTTATCACTAGAATATAAATAGAATTCTAGATTTTAGAATATAATTTTGGTCATTTATTTTCAAATTATTATATGCAAAAAATATGCTTCTTTTGTTACTATATACGTAACATAATATGCAATGATTTAATAATCAAGTTGCACTATTTTCCTTTTTTTTATTAAATTTTATTCTACAATCTGTTTTTCACAAACAATAACCAGAGACTGCTAACAATATATATTGGACAATATTAACTAGAGAATAGTAGGAACACCCAGCGACATATCTACTAGGAATATTTAACATATAATAATAAAAATAACAAAAACAAAAAAGAAATATAAAATATAGCAAAACAAAAGTATTTAAGATTAACTAGAGTAAATGAGGTCTTGTGGCAATTTTCTCTTCAAATTGGTGGGCTGCCTGGTGAGAATTGTAAATTTTTGGATTTTTTTTTTTGAAAATGTTTGAATTTAAAAAAAAAAAATCGGGTAAAAATTAAATACACGTGATATCTTACTGTACCCCTTCCGCCCCTACGAGATATTTTATGATTGTCAATTGTTATGTAGAAAAATGAAACATATATTTGCAAAGCGACTTGTTTTACTTTTACTGTTACTGCACTTTTGTATGGAAGCTCACGTTGTTTGAGTACCACAAGCGTAAATCATGATATCGCACTAATAACGACGCGACGTTTTTGTTGTCGAACAAACCGCTATTTCATGAAAAATTCCCGCAAAACGCCATGTATTTGTAGCTCTCTTCGAATTTTTATGAGTTTTTGATTTAATTTGTGCTCTGCCGCTACGCGAAAAGCTTCAGTCGTCGGCTTGCAATATTTAACACATGGATGTGCGGAATTGTCACATAGAATATTTCGAAGAGTTATAGAGGATATATATATATATATATATATATATATATATATATATATATATATATATGTATATATATATATATATATATATATTTTATATATATATATATATATTATTTCTTTTATTTACAACTGTCCAGTTAAGGACATTTAATACATTTGAGGAATTTACAATAGTCGGCAGTAAAGGGACATTGTATACTAAAGGGGCAGGTTGGAAAAACAACTCAATAGATGTTCTCTCATTCGATATAAAATTCACAATATTTTATTGATAATTATATAATTTTAACTATTTACTTATAAAATAATTTCTTATAAATAATGATTAAGTTATTTCCATTTTTTATCAGGAGAGTTGATGGCTTAAATCCAGTGGCGCTTTTCTTTGTAATCTTCTCGGATAGTTCATAGAGGATATTTTCCGATGAAATAGAAATATTATGGTAACGATATGTTATGGGTCTATCATCGTATGAATTGGTAGTAAGAACTATCATAATGTTATGTATTTGCTAACCTTACCTACAAAACGCACAATCGTCAAATAACTATGAGGGGCTTCCATTAATCACGTGAGCCAAAAAATCACGAAATATCACGTAGGGGAGGGGAGGGTCTAGTAAGATATCAAGTGTATTTTTTTACATCAATTTAAAAAAAATCTAAAATTTGCTGGGTACTAAAAATGCACTTGATGTAGTGTGAGGGAGGGGAGTGTTGGTTTAAAATATTACCACGTATCGTCAAGGAGGAGGGGAAGGTCCAAAAATACTTAGAAATCGCTCACGTAATTAATGGACGATCCCTAAGTGCATTTTTCTAGTGTCTCATTGATAACACATAGGTGAAGTTAGGTTTTATGTAACACCTGATCGCACAGCAAATACATAGCTTTTTGGCAGTTTTTACTACCAATACATACGAAGGTACATCCTTAGCATAGCCTTACCATAACATTTCTATTTTATTAGAGAATTAGCCCCTGAATTTTTCTGGCATATTATTGCTGTTACCAATATCTAGAAGAAATTAAACAAAAATGCTATTGGAGCTAATCTATGATTGAAAATCGCTATTGATATATTTAAAAAAAGAAAATTGGCCTCGTTTTTCATAGCATATAGCTATTTACATTACATTTTATTTATATCTTTTCTATCCAACGTTCTACATATATATTAGCTTTTACAACTTTCTTTTTTATTATTCTACGTAATGACTTTATTTTTATTAATATACTATTTTTTTTATTTCTCAATATTCAATTACAGTCTGTTTTTGTATACTATTTACTATTTAATATTCTACAAACATATTTGTTTAACATACACCTATCTCCTATTTTACACGGAAGATAGATTCTATAAAAAACAGTGTGAAACTCGAAAAATTCATTCTTTTATAAAAAATCACTATAACAAAGCTATTTTTGTCAATTTTTATAACAAAACTTTGAACGAAAATTTTTAATATATTTAATATCCAACACATTTAATAAATTGTAGCTTTATCCATAGAATAAATATGAGCAACATCTATTATTCTTCCATTATTACAGAGCCGGTTCAAAATTTCAGTTTTGGTTTGTAAAGAATAAAATCTTTCTTTTTCTCGCTAGTTTTTTATTATTATCTTTTGCCATTATCGGACCATAATTTTATAAATTATAGATTTTGTAAATAATTCTGTTAACTGCTCGCCTTGAATAAATCTACGCTATCAATTATACATAAACGCCAACTAAAAACAAAGTTTTTATTTTTTTAATTTTATTGGCCTTTACAGCATTTTTAGCCACCTACATTATTCATATTATTTTTTATCATATTCCATACAATTCTTACATATATATTTCTTATACATTCATCATATATATACTATCTATCTCTTCTTATATCCTAATCTTCCATACAATTTTCTTTCTTCAATTCCATTCAATTTTCATTCTTCTTGTTTCTCAATATGTTCTTCTCACCTTCCAAACTAAACTTCTGTTTTTCTTCTTACTTCTAATACAATTTTTTTCTTGTATTCTAGAAATTAACTATTCTTAATTCTACTTTAATATTTTATATTCTTAATTCTGGTATTGCTGGAGATTCGAACCGAATTCCTCCGGCGTGTTAGTCGAGAACGTTACTGAGTGAGCTATTCCCGCCACAAAAATACAATGTTCAATACAAAAGTTTAAATACAATGCTTTTTTTATTTTGGCATTTCAAACAAACTAGTTTATACACACATAAAATTTAGTTTTGATCATGAAACGGGGAGTTCCCATCTTATCCACATATTTCCACCATGGACATAGACTACTAAGAATTTGTAACAGTAACATATATTTTGTAGAGTTATATTTCAACAGTAAAACAATGAAAATTTCATTGTAAATATAAGCAAATTAGAGTTTAGTGTTTTTATTTTTTGTAAATGCAAAAATAATAAATTTCATTAAAAACATACATATACAGACTCAGAATATGTATTTTTCTCAGAATCTGAGTACTAACCCCATAAAAATATCATGCTAAATCAAAACCTTCTGTTTCACCTACAATATATATTTATATAAGAGTATTTTTTAAGCATAAGCAAATGCTCCAACCTGCCTCAATTTATTGCCATAAAATGCATACTAAATTTTCGATCGAAAATGTCGTTCTATATTCGTCTTATAATAATAATAAAGATTGTTTTATGGATGGTTGGACAGGAGGTTTCCCATAATTGAATTGACATGAGACATGCAAGATTTTCGAACGAGCAGTTCATTTTGTAATTGAAAATAACGTGAACTATGGTCGCAAAAATTGGAACGATACTATGTCATGACAATATGGTATTATTATTATTATTTGAAATCTATGCTATATGTCAAATCGATTTTACTTAAGAGCCATAAGAGTTGGATAATAATTGTATAAAATCAGGCATTCTGCCAACCCAATGATTGAGGAAAATTGTATTAGCTTGATTGTATTCGGTTTTATACCCCAATGTAATTGATATTGATTCTAAAATTACATATAATATCTAGAACTTTTTTTTAAATTATTTGTATTTTTAGTAGAATAGGAAATAATTATACAGTTCAAGAAGTACTTAAAATATTAATGAATTGATAAAATTACCTGCGTCGACAAGTTTTAAATAATGCATCAAAACTGTATTAGGTTTTTCTGATAATAACAATTTATTTCTAATTCATTTTTAATTAGTGCAAAATTTCGGAAATTCATAAAAATGTATCTGAATAAAGAAACAGAATTTTTATAGCTTAAGTTAAATGATAAAAAAATAAAAATGACTATAAATCCTGAATAGAACTGATAACTATATTTTTATGAAGAAATATTTAAGTTAAACAATATGAAATAATTGCAGAATATTGCAGGAATCTTCTAAAATTTTAATTAAATCTAATCTAGAGTACGGAAAAATTCCTAATTTTATTTAGCTTTTAATTTTCGACATGCCTGAAATTATGTTATATGATGGAATAATAGCACTTTTTACTTCTATAGTAATTAAATTCATATTAAAATTGCTTTGATCACAAGTTAGCAATGGTCTTGCAGATTTATTAACGCCAAAATGATTAATTTGACAATTTTTATCAATTGAAGATTTTAATTTCATATTAAAAAAACATCAAATTTTGTTTAAGATTTATTTTTATATCGTTATTTAGTGATGTTTTAAATTTTACGCATAAAATGCATATTCCGGCTAAATCGACTAATTTCTTAATAATAATAATTTTGCATACATAAATAACTTGTATTCTTTAACTTTTGCTGAAATTATTTAGTTTATTATTTATTATTATTTCAAGTCCCAATAATTTCTGAACTGTTGATACTAACATATTCAAATCTATTTTATTTATTAAATTCCCGAAGGAGAAGTTTATGTTTTCATTAAAAATTCCGAATTTTATGTTTTCTCGACGTTTCAAGCTATTCTGAATCGAATTAGACCAAATTTGGAAAAGGTGTGTGTGTGTATGTATGTGTGTGAACAGATTTTTTGTCGTAAATCGACGTTTTTTCGGCTGGACCGATTTCAAAAATTTAAAAGCCATTCGATGTATCTCTTCGAGGACCATCGTTTATAAGTTTTGTGCGACGATCGGCCAAGCCGTTTCTTTGTAATTTCGGGAAAAAAATGTTAAACTTTTCGTCCACATTTAAGCTCATACTACCGAATCGTTTTTAAACAATCAAAAACTGTTCGAAACATACAAGTTGAGAATGATACTGATTCGTTTTAGGTGAAAATCTACCTAATCGTTTTCTTGCAATTAACTGTTGAAAAAAAAATTAAGCCGTTTTTCATGGAGCTTTTTTGGCTATATATATCATAGTCTTATAGAACTTACTGAAATATTACGGCCTTACAACAAGTAGTTTAATTTTAAAACTTCATCAACGTTTGAAAAAATGAGTAGTTTTTTGACGTTTGTTAAAATTAAAATTAGACGATTTACTTGGTACAACGATAGAGTACTTGGTCTTAATGAACCTACTAAACCATTAAAGTCTTACGGAAACTGGTTCAATTATGAAAATTATCGATATGTGAAAATTTGCTTCTAGAAAAATACTCCGAGTTAACGTCCTCTCGGAATTCTTTTAAATTCTAAAACTCTAAATTCATTTATTTATCATGGATTTAGTCGATTATTTACACATATCGGGAAGTTCATGTAACTTGCCAAATACCAATACCAACTAGTTATAAATTATATTTAAAAATATAAAATGTCTATATTACGAGAACACAGATATTTTTGTTTTTTATTTTTTGCTTAAACTATTTAGTTTATGTTACGTTTTATGTTTCGATAAATTTTAATTTTTGGCATTAACATCTCTAAATTTATTTTATTACGATGTCACCATTTTATTTGTAATTTCTTTCCCCCAGAGTCGGCTGTTGAGGCGGCATGGCCAGCCCGGCCGTCCATGCGAGCGGCGCCCCAGGGCCGGCCGGTAGTCAGCAACATCAACTGCAAATCCAGCAACAGACTGATCAGGATATTTCTGATCAGCAACAGCATTTAGCATCAGCCGGACAACCTCCGCAATTGCAACAGATCCGAGGAGCTCCCGTACCTGACGGATGGCGAAGGCTGTTGCATAATGGCGAGATTGTCTACTTCAGGTGAGTTTCTTTTACAAATTGCACTGGAAGCGAAAATGATATAGTCTAGTCATTTAGTAAGAATCTCGGAATTCGAGATACCCAGCTGTAAGTCTGTAAATACTTGTATATTGGCACCCTAAAGTTGTCTCAAAACCTACATATGGTATTGACACCCTACTATATGTAGGTTTTGAGACAACTTTAGTGCGTCAATATACAAGTATTTACAGACTTATAGCTGGGTATCTCGAATTCCGAGGTGAACTTACTATAATGACTGGACTAATAGATTATTTTTAATAATATTCGCCCAATATATATGCTGATAGGCACTAACTTTCAGCCAATATATAGACAAATCTTTGAACGACTTTTTAAAATTATAATTTATTTTTATGTTGTGGAAGATTTGGTATGAATATTCGATTTATATTGGTTTTAAATTATTCGCAACGACACATTGATTTTGACAATATCGAATTTATTATACAGCGTTAAAATAACGTTCTATTTAAAATGTTTTTATGAGCCCTCTACCATCTAATAATAAGAATTCTTCACTGTGATTGCTTTAACTAGGCTTCAAAAAATCGCTTTTTTGAGGAATATTTAGGAAGAAAATAAATATTTAATTGAAACGATATATCATTAAAATATTGGCATAAAATTTTGCCAATGCGCCTCGAGCGTGCAGGTGGTCACAATTTCCATCCGACACAAAAAAATCAAAACAAATACATATTTTTCAATAATATAGATTCTAGTTGAACCTAAAAAATCAGAACAAAATGAGAAATTCACCAATTTTTCGCAGCTTAAAAAATCGTATTTTTGGATACAAAATTTCACTTTAGATTGTTCAAAAAGTGGGTTAATAACTTTTTTAGATTCAACTAGAATAAAATTTAATCCTGAATAGAATGAATTTTTTCCATTTAGTTTTTTTTTCCTATCTTTCCCGCTAATTAGGAAGAATCGAAAAAATTCAAGGCCGAGAAATCGCGGGTCGAAGTTTTCGTTCCGCTCGTATCCATGCTTGACGCTTGCTCACTATTTCTTCTGAATTTGTTTTGGAAGACATTTTTGCAATTAAAAACAATCGATTTTTTTAAGCCTCTAAAACAGGCTGCCCCCTCAAAACGCAGTAGGGTGTTTCATATATTATCATTAATTTTGCACTAGACAAAATCAATTCGAGAAAAGAAAATTGATCAAAGTTCGTAATTTGTATTTATTATCTGTAGCAAGAAAATTTAGCCTTTACTTCATATAACTATCTGACAAATTACACGGACTTTGACAGTCACGTGTTAAATACAAAACAAACATCCTTGGAATTGTTTGCATAGGAATCTCTAGTATGTATCTTGGCCACCTAATGGCATATATCTTATTCTACCAGATTCGAGGTTTTCTATTCTACAATGTTTATACTATCAACTGATACTATTTGTTATATCAATCGAGGAAAGTAATATAAGTTGGTATTGAAAAAAATATATTACGATATTACGATAAAAGTCCAATTTGTTGTCAAATAAGTATTATCTACAGAATTGTTACTTTGGTAAGTTGAATAATTTGAGTAATTGAGTAATTTTAATATGTTTGTCGACTAGAATTTAAAACGCAATTTGAACTAAAGCACGTCTAAATATAAAAATCAAAATGCAAGGATCACTTTACAAAGGCAACCTGTTGAAAATCTTTTTGGCTACATTTGCAGTATGATTCTAGTTCAACGCCACGAACGTAAAAGTTTTACAATCCCATCGGGAATAACCCCGTATTGATTCTTTTACGACTTGACTTTATTCACAAAGTGTACATTTTCTTCAGATGTTTGGAATGTCTTTCCTTGATGGCAATAGGATTGGATTTGCTTATTTTCAATTGCTTTTTTTATAAGGACTGGTTTATTAAATATTTAGAAACAATTTGTTTCAGGCTATGCTCAATATTTATTTGAAAATAAATTCTAAAAATTTTAACATTTTTTGAAAAAGCAAATAAAATTAAAGTGCAATATTACACAGTATTAGTCAATGTAAGAACAGTATTAATCAGTATTTAACTGATTTTGTTTTTGTCTGTTTGCCAATAGTTGAAAATGTAATAGCTTAACTGATTTAGATACGTCACTGGATGTATCTACTAATTTCTAATTAATATTATTTTCTCATATATTGTACTAAGAATTTATATTAAATTAATTAATTATAAACTGTTTTAAAATTCGCCTTGATAAAAGGCATATTTTGAAATTATAATTTATGATAAATTAGTATATGTCTGCATCAAATGGAAAATGCAATTAGTACAATGGCAATCAATTTTCAATAATAATCATTTTCGAAAATTTCTCCTTGCCCTATGTTAATTATGGATCTCCTCCCATCGAGAGCTTTAATAGAATTATCGCAAAGCTTGTTTACCCTAAACATCTACTTATTATTCGTTGAATCATTGAATAATAGAACATTTCGAGATCTGCACAATACATTTAAAGGAAAGAAGGATTTTGATCGGATATCTTTAATTGTTTCTCTTACACAGACAAAGACAAAAACCAATTCTTTATCTAAACGACTGTTTGGGCCATTAAGAGAAATCACATACAATAAACAAGGCAAAGAGAACAACGATATATTTAAACAATGAAATACTAACTACATACAATAGCCTGATTTTTGCAATGATTGACGACGACTTTCTCCTTACAATGATACAGCTAAACAAAAAAGATATCTTTTCACAGTACATTTATTTAGCACGATCATTTGTTGGAAATGCAAATGCATCCGCTTTGACATAAAACAACAATGATAGTTATAACGGTAGATGTTTTTTCAGCATTCTTTGTGATATGTACCAGACAATGAGATCTCTAGTTTTCATTAGATTGAAAGAGAGTAATAAATAGAAGGAAGAAAATCATCTCTATTGCATATGAATAGTTGAGATCAGTGTTTTACGTAACAGACCATGGTGTTAATAAATAATTAATTCTGTTTTATGAAGACTTGATTAAGCTACAATATTATTACTTAACACGATCCCGGACGTAGCATTCATTTTCATTGTGATGTAGAATGACATGAATGCTATAGCATTCAAATGTTACAGTCAATTTTTTGTGAATCTTACGTTTTTGTAATTATTTTACTTGTTAAGGTAATGACTGATTGATTCTTTTATCTATTCTTTTCTTTTATATCTATACTTATTCTTTTATATCTTATTTTTTCCCGTGGTCACAAACTAGCTTGGGCAAGCACATTGCGTAAATAGAAGCGTAAAACTTGACGTGGATGCTTTAGCATTCATCATATATAACGATTAAAATATATGGTCATCTGACACCCTCCTAAACGGTGTTCAATCAAATTTCGGATACCATAACTAATTTAAAAATAAAATGACTAATGAAAAATAAAATTTTTGAATCTTTCTGAAGTTTATACTGTTTGCAAACGTGTTAATAAGACTAAAAATAACTAGTGGTGTATGAAATCGTGCCTGAAGGCAAATTACTGGAACTTTCTGTACCGTAACGCAATGTTCGAGGAATATTAAATGTTTTCAAATAGTTGTCTAAGAAATGTGTAATATTTATAATAATTATATAGTCTGAATTACAAAGTTAAGTTTCTTTATCTAAAGTATATATGCGAGCTTTTTAACTTTAGCCAGAATTAAAATTAAAATATGAATTATTTTCGGTATACAAAAAATATCTAAAAGCAGTTGTTTTCTCAGCACAAGCTAAATCATTCAAATCGGATGCTTCATTCTCTCAAAAACTGCCATTTTTTGTACATTTAGCTCTGTATTTTCGAAAAGGCTGGACCTGCTTTTGCCAAAAATCAATCTCCACTTCTCCCAATCATTACAAATTGAATGTTTTTTGGATCATTCAAATCGGATACTCTGTTATCTCAACAACTCAATTTCTATTTTCTGCACTCTTTGTTCCGTATCTTCGTAATGACTAGGCCTGCCTTTGCCAAAAACTAATCAGCACATCTCCCTATCAATATGAATCGAATGTTTTTTTGAACTATTAAAATCGGTTGATCCGTGCGCCCGAAATCATGGACGTAAATTTGCGGACACACAAAACACACACTAACATCCATATTTTCTAAGGTATGCCAAAATGTTCAGAAACCACTGAAACGTGAATTTATGCAAAAAAAAAATATTTTTGTTTTATGGCCCATTACTATAAATTACCCTACGAGAATTTAATAATGATTTTGGATAATTTTGCAGGAATTTTGATTTTACGATTTATTAATTATGCTTTCGTTTCAAAATATAATGATATAGAAAATCCATACAAAAAAATATTTTCGTTTTTTATTAAAATCATTTTATTTTCATTTTTTCAAATAATTTTGTATTTTCAACTCTGGCTATTCCACATTGAATTTATTCGCATATCATAATTCTTTGAGCAATATATGGAAACGAATAAAATTGCAGTATGTCATAAATTTAAAAATGCAGCATCGACCATTGATGCTTTCGTTCACACAGTCCATTGCATCCAGGAAGTTAAAATTTTCAATCGTGGCACCTTTATTACTCACGATTATGCGATGTGCATTCACGACAGATTTATATTGCCGTGCACATTTCCTACTTTCAAAAAATATTGCATTTATACTGGTACCGCTACATCTATCTACAATGTAATATGCTGGTTTAATATGTATCAGGTACATTCCTTTTTCAAATCATTTCGTCATATATAAATACAGATTGTAAGATGTAATATGTAATATATCCTTTGTATGCGGAATTGAATTTATTTATTGAGAGGCGTACTATTCAGTGCAGTAATATTCAGTGCATTTTCTGTTCTTCTTTGAACTTTTTTTTAAATAATACTATACTTATATTATTCCAGCATAATATTTGATTAACTTCTACTACAACATAATATAGCGATTGTAAAGAAGAACTAGAAGGGTATTCTAGTGCAGAGGCATAAATTTTAGGTCATTTTTAAA